ACTGTGACATTTGTTGTTGTTGTTGTTTTTGTTTTTTTCTCTGCTGCAGTCAGATTCTAGACAAAAGGAATTTAAAGAAAGAAGGGGTTATTTTAGCTCACGGTTTGAAGATATGGTCCATCATTGTGTACTGGGGGCTCACTGCGGTGGCGATAGTCTGTTAGAAGGTAACATTTCATCAGGAGGCAGGAAGCAGAGAGAGATAAATGTTCCTTATTTGCATACGTCTTTATTTGCTCAGGGATCCCAGTGCAAGGGAATGGTACCGCCCACCTTCCTGGTAAGTGTTCCCACTTCAGTTAAACATCATCATAGACACACCCAGAGATTTGTCTCCTAGGTGATTTTAGGTTTCATCAAGTTCACTCAAGATCATGCTTTTTATAGGAGAAAAATAACATGAATTTTAAGAAAGACTGTAAAAAGATAAACAATAGATTCATTTTCCTTTAACACGATAAAAAGGTATCTATCAGTAAGATGCTTCTTTCAGAACTTACTGTGAAAACCTAATTAAAAGTATCATAGAAACATGCAAGAAAATAGTTGAGTGCCTGCATAAAAGCCATGCCAGGCTGTACTGAGTGTGATTTTCTTTTTTAGCCATGCTTGTATGGATGCTTTAAGGAGAAGAATGACTTCACACAAAATATTGTACAAGTGTGAGGAGGGCCATTTGCAATCTGTATGAGTCTTCTGTTCTTCAGTACTCATGACCCCTAAATAAGCACACACTGCCTTGAGTACTCCTACTGAAAGAATGGCTACTCTACAGTTGACTCAAGGTGCCTGATGCCTTATGCTCATTTTTTTTAATTTGGTCAAATTTAATTTTCATAACTGTATGAGAGTGGTATATAAACTCCATTTTTACTTGTAAGAAAAGTAACTCAGGGACTCTGGTATGGGAGCTGGCTGAAGGACTGGAGGAGGGGGGTATTGCAACCCCACAGGAAGAACAACATCAGCTGGCTGGATCACTCAGTGCTCCCAGGGACTAGACCACCAACCAAGGACTGTACAAGGAGGGATCCATGGCTCCAGATATATATGTAGCAGAGGATGGCCTTGTCTGACATCAATGGGAGGTGGGGCCCTTGGTCCTGTGGAGGTTTGATGCCCCAGTGTAGGGGAGATGCTGGAGCAGTTGGGCTGGAGAGGGTGGGTGGGTGGGTAACACTCTCATAGAGGCAAAGAGGAGGAGGGAGAAGGAGAATGTGGGATGGGGGATTTGTGGAGGGGTAACCAGGAAGTGGGAAATCATTTGAGATATAAATGAATGGAATGATTTATAAAAAATACAATAAATACTAAAAAAAGATAAAAGAAATGTGAAATAATGATCTCTAGAAGAAGAAATAATTTTTCTAAGCCTTGTTGGATAGTAAATTAAAAAGCCAATCTTTTATTTAAGAAAGCTTTATTTCTCTTTCCAAAAATGATGTTTCCTCTTCTCGATTGACAAAACTCTGAAATGAGGTGTTAGTACCCATCTTATTTCTAGCTATTTAAAAGTTACAATTACAATCTATGAAATTAAATTTGTTTATATTCTAAAATCTAATTATTACCCAATTTTAACGTAATATGTAAAATGAATACATCCATTACTTTTATATTTAATTTTTTTCACTTTTTGAAAAAATAATTACATCATTTTCTCCTTTCCTTTCATCCTTCCAAACAGTTTCATATATACTTCTGTGCTCCTTTTCAAATGTATGGCCTCCTTTTTTTCATTCATCGTTGTTATACACACATACACCCACATTCCTCCTAAATATAATCATCTCAATCTACATAATGTTTCTTCGATGTACATTTTCAGGCTGACCACTTGGTGTTGAATATATCAGTGTGTTCTTCCCTGGAGAAGACTATCATGCCTGCTCTCAGAATTTCTTCGTCTGTAGTCCTTAGTTTACGACTAAGGCCTGGTGAGCTTTCTCGACATCCATGATAGCATGTCCATTAGCATCATCAATGTTTAGCTCATGGGTAGGCAGCCATGTTGGTGAGACTTCATAAGAATAACTTCTGACATTTCTAGGAGAAACAGTCTCACAGCCAACTCACTGATCCTCTGGCTCTTACATCTTTCCGACCCTTTTGGAATGATTGTTGAGCCTTAAGTGTGGAAGTTGTATTGCCTTTGTTTTATTTTCTATCCTCCCCCCTTTTTTGTCTGTTTGTTTTCTTTTGTAATTATTTTCTATCATTACAGTAACACTGTAAAGGAGATTATGACAAATTCATGAACATCCATATGACTGTATTTCCCTGAACTAGATGAATAAACAAACTCCAAAAACAAAGAAAACACTACTGCTCACACCCTTTAGATCATCAGCTTCAGGCTGTTGCTGGATTGTCTTTTGATTTTTACTCATAATGTTTTGATGAGCACCACTGAATGAATCATCCTGTCATTCAAGCCAAGACACAATAGGTATTAAATGATAAATACTCAAAAACTTAAGAGTGACCAACTTAAAGATACTATTTGGTCATAATCTCTTTCACCTTCAATGGGCAAAATACCCCAAATGTCAGTATCTCTTACATGAGTCCATCTTCTGCAAGCTAACTGATCTCTGCCCTCTCCTTGAAGGCTGTGTCAATCAACCTGTGTCAATCAATTGCCTTGAAAATTGTACAACTGCAAGACTAAAACCAAGCCTAATGGAGACTTAGTTCTTATGATTTGTGTATAATACAATTCTCCATCCCCTATTCTTTTTGATTAAGAATAGAATCAGTCAAGGTCTTTCCTGCCACTCCCTGTGGATCTGAAGATTAAGAGTCAACACCTTTAAAACTAGCTCCTATTATGAACAATTACTTGGTCTCACCAGCCAGCCATAATTTCAGCCCCACCTCCCTTTCTGTGTTGAGCTCATTGTAAGCATCCAGGAAGTCACCTTCAGACTGCATACAGTTTTCCCCATGACACTCCCTTGACTCATTTCCAAGTTCTGTTGTGACATTGTGTAACCGGTTAGCAGGAGATGTCTGGAAGTAAGATGTTGAACATTCAAACACTATGTATTAACTAAGTACCTACTTGGTAAAAAGACTCTTGATAAATCCAAAGAAATGAGTCTACAGGAATCCTAAGATGTAAGAGGAAGAGCTACCTTTTAAGAGAAATTGTTATAAATAAAAATGGAAGGCAGAACTTCAAATCTAGAAAAAATATTAAAACAAGATTAAAATATAAATCTATTAAAATATTTAAATTTTCTAAGCATAGTAATGCACGCCTATAATGTTGGCCCTTGGGAGGTTGAGGTAGGAGGAGAGTTGTTAGTTCAAAGACAACTTTTGCTCTCGTTTGACTTAGTATAAGCTCTCAGTGTATTTTAAGTTCCGATTCTGTAGGAGAATGAAATAGAAATACTATGTTCATGAAGTTAACAAAGAAAGAATCATCAGAAATAGAAAAGATAGAAATGGTTCAAAACATTCCACATTAGAAAAGCAGTTTCTGTACTTAATGATGAATCTACTCAGGATAATGTGATTCATCTTTTATGATATTGACATTAAATTGTCAATAAATGTTAAATGCAGGTACTTTAATTTTTGAGTTTGAAATTAAATTAGGTGAGGAATATAAGCTACTAGATATAAGACTTGGAAATCAGAACATTCTCATAAAATAACATTGATTGTTATAATACAATACACATTTTTGTACCAGGACACTATTCAAATTCATTGAAGAGGTCTGTAAATGAATAACTTGAAGTTGGGAAATGAATAAAAAAATTTCAGATAAAATGTGCAATTTTTCAAATGTGTTTCATTCCTTTCATTAAATACTAAATATGGAATCAGACATTAGATAAAGAGTCTAAATGTATAATGTGTAAAGAGTGATCACCACTTAGTGCTAGCAGTGTTGTCTAGATTGCGTGTTATATTTTACAATGTGTGAGTGACAGATCACTTGTTTAATTGAATCCCTATGGTAAGTTTCATCAGCCATTGCCTATCAATCATGTACAAGATAAAGTCAAAAGCCTTCTCTAAGACCCTCTTCAGCTTTTCACTTCTCATGAGCACATAGAAACTCAAGAAGGAGTAAGTTTTGTTTTGTTGCTTTGTTTTTCTTTCTTTCTTTTTCTTATTTCTTTTCTTTTTGATACTAACGACTGAACCCAGGGCCTCATGCATGTGAAGTAAGCGCTCTACCCCTGACTTACACACCCCGACTAGCTCCCCACCTCAAGTTACACAATCAGTTGGTGGAAAGACTAAGATTAGAATTCAAATTTTAATGCCCAGTCTGATTGTATTCCACTTCAATTCTTCAGTATTCAGTGTTTCCTAGCAAGCAATCCCACAACAGCCAACCAACTTCACCCATACCCCTTGCTGTCACATTAGACAGGAATGCCCTTTCTCACTGTCATACTACTCTTGCCTGTGTGTCTTCTCAGATTCTGCTCCTGCCTGGAAACACTCCTCCTAGTCTTGTATCTTTGCCCTAATCATCCACACATCCATACTCTCCTTTTCTGCCTGCTTATCTTCTATATCACTGAGTTAAGATGCCTTCTCAGGAGATAATATTGGGAATAAGAGTAGGTGTGTTTTAATTTCAGCTTTATGCTTGTTTATCTCATAACAATGTGTCCTTCCTACTCAAGCTCTCTCTCTCTCTTTCCTCTCTCTCTCTCTCTCTCTCTCTCTCTCTCTCTCTCTCTGTGTGTGTGTCTCACACACACACACACAGAGAGAGAGAGAGAGAGAGAGAGAGAGATTAAGAAGGTGTAAGTATTTTATCACAGAGAAAAGCATATTCGGAGGTAGTGTCTGTCAGTGCATGGGAAGTATTTTATGGTAGTTCGTGGTTTTCTGTAGTGAGGAATGAAGTTTATGATAATAAGCAGAAGTGTCACATCCTCCTGAATAAAAAAGATGCCTAGATATGTGGTCACAGGGTTGTGAAAAACCACCTGCCACCTGTAGTCATGTTTATTCACTATGTACCAGAATAAATGGGATTGTTTCTGATTTGTAAGGTTTCTCCATCTCTGATTCTGGTCCACAAGTCACACTATTGGCTCAAGTTGATTCTTTCAGACTTGTTTTACAAGTTGGGTTTTAATTACATGGGATTTCCTCCTTTGGCTTCTGGTACACAGAACACGAAAGAGTCATTCAGTTGAGAGGGAATCTCAAAGCAGTTGGACACACAGAAGCAAGGACCTCTTCATTCTTCAAGAGTAAAATGTATAGGTAAGACCTGCTTTTGACTCTGTAGCTTTATAAGTTTTACCATGTCTTAAAGCATGTGAAATGCAAAGATGTTTAAGAAATTTGGGCTGGATAAAACAATTACAGTCACTTCTTTGAAAACTTTAGTGAAACTGATGGAGATTGTTTAAGTAATGTCCCTGATGTTTAGATAGCATGCTTGGCTGATTCTCTGCCTTTTGGGGAGGGGAGAGGATTTGTTTAATGAAATGAATAAACTCGAGGAGATGATTTAGCATTACTACATTATCTTTAAAGAAGAAAGGGTTTTTGCTTGTCATGTCTCAGTTTATAGAGACTGAAGTGTGAATTTGAAAATATATAATCAGTAAAAAAAAAACTTCCTCTGTTGCTTTAGAACATTTTGAAATTTAGATATTTTGATTCCTAACAATATTATCACTGGCTACTAAATATTACATGGATCCTAAAGTCCTTCCTAAGAAGTTAAAGGCAGTATTTGTCTATATTTTATGCAATAATGATATTTCTATTTTTTTAGTTAGCATTGCTAATATTTAAGAAAACTGGCATCTCTCCAATTTTCAGTTTGATGATCAATTTTTTTCATAAACATTTACATAAAAACAATTTGTCTCCTAACCTGCCTTCAGGCAGTAGAAGCTTAGTTAAAATAATGAAAATCATTACAGAAGTGTATATATTGTACATATTGCATTTCTATTAGCATAGAAAAAAAAAGACACATCACCCTAACTAGAAGACTATGCTAAAAGAAGGGTCAATAAAAGCAAGGGCACTATGTAAGTATAAGTACAGTTGAGTTTTTCTTTAATCTCAGCAACAACAGAAGAAACAAAATTAAACCATATTGAATAATTAAAAACTCATGTAAGATTATATATATGTATATATAATATATGTGTATATATATGTGTGTGTATATATATACATATATACATATACATATATATATATATATACATATATATATATATATGAGTATATCTACAAGTAAATAACATACTGGGAAATAAATGGCAGTCTACATGTCCAACAATAACATAACAATAAATTATCTCATATTTCTCTTGCAATTTTGGTTCCACACTCTACATTTGACCATATTTTGACTCTTAAGCAAGCTGTTTGTACTGTAATTGTTTTCTTTTTGTTCAATAGCATGAAATATCTACAATCCATAATTATGATAATTTGACAAAATTCTGAAATTTGAGAAAGCTTGTCTCAGAGACAGTGTACTCCATCAACCTGTGTAAAGCTTAAGACTTCCAGGGTACAGAGTTGGGAAAGCATTCAGATGGCACAGGAAATTCTTTTAATAAATTTCATTTTTCCAATTCTTCCACATGCTCTGAGAGCTCAGGGCATCAGGTCAAATAGGGAAAAGGGAACAAATTTTTATAATATACTTCCTAAAGGTAATTCTAGGCTGTTCTTACCTAATGTTAGGTGCATCTTCGGATAGCTCTGAAACCTTTCTATTTGACAGTGAGCTTTCTTGATGTTTGATTGCTCCCCTATGCACATTGCACTCTCGAATTTCACCCAAGCTGCCTTTTTCTGAAGGCCGCACAAATGGTGTGATCCTTTCTTTATGCATGTTCCTGTCTTTCAGAACAGAAACCCCAAGTCAGGCCCTAGAACCTAGGCACTTTTGTTGGGAAATAACTGATACTCATCTAAGTTCTGTGATATTCCAGAATTTCTTAGGTCCATCCAGAATATTCATATCCAACAGATTTCATAAAATGGCAAGATGAGGCTGAGATTTAGAAAGCAGAATGACAATTTTCAAGTCTGGATTCAGAACACAATTTAAAGAAAGACTTGAGGTGCATGAGCATATCTCAATCCAGGGACAGACAGGTCCTGGCAGAGTTCCTTCGTTCATAACAAACCACATTTCCTTTCTCTTCTCTTTTGTCAGTGTTCATGATAAAATTAGCTGAATATGGAAACATGCCAAAGGTGATCAGAATAAGGGCCTGTAATAAGAAACTGGAAAAACAAGAGATAAACTGAAAATTGAATCTTTCTGTATTCAAATGTGTTTTACACCTTCTCTATTGTTTCCATTTTGGTCTCTGAATTGTTTCAGCTTGTGAAAATCCATGTTTAGATTTGCAAATCATTGAGCAGTGGGATATTTCTTTATAAATCTAGGTAGGTAAGCACCAATATGTCTCTGTGGTCATGGAGACCATCTAATTGTTGGGATGGGATGGAGAAGTGATGACGTCATGATGAAACAAAGAAAGGTCAGCTCTTATTTGTCACCCAGGGTTAGATATTTTATAGCAAATTAGTTCATATCTATTGTCAATTTGACCACCAGAAATGACTCATAAGAAATTTCTTTAAAATATCATTTTTCCCTGAAACTTAAGCTGTTTTATAACCCGTGAAATCTGCTGTTGGTGCCTCTAAAGCAAGTCTGCCCAACTTTAACATTTGAAAGAATAAGACAAGACACGCATGCTTCCCCTTGCTGAACCGTTATCATCAGTGTAAGGACATGTAGAATTATCTTCACTTAAAAAAATCCTTCCTTCGATATTTCTTGTTTTAACATGTCCCCTCTGTAGTAGCAGAACTTTCCTAAAATCTTCTTTATATCTGCAACTATCTTCATCCGTTTTTGATTTTCAATGTTTGTTGTGATAGATATCATTATGAGCTATAATACACATAAAGTCCAATTACAGATGAGAACAGACAATAATAACGTACTAACAGTATAACATATGAATGAAAATCATTTGAACTTTTTTTTCTTAAGAGAATGATAAATATTTTAGGACACACATAACATATGCTGATTTAAACATTACATAATACACACAAGAATCAAAATACCATGTGACACCCTATAGACAAACTTTTCTTTATATATCTGTTAAAATATGTAAAATATGTAAATGATAATCAAATACAGAAAGAGATATTCTTCTTTTAAAATTCTTCATTGAAAATTCTTCTTTAACATATATTTTAATCATATTCTTTCACCCTGCTACTCCTTCAATTTCTTGTTCTCTCTCGCTCACTCTCTCTTGCTCTCTCACTCGCTCTCTCGCTCGCTCTCTCGCTCTCTCTCTCTCTCCCTTTCTCTCTCAAAAAAACCCTACAAAAAATAACAAACATCAAAACAAACAAACAAACAAGACAGCAAGACAAAAACTATAAATACAAAACAAAAAGTAAACACACACACACAAAAAAAAAAAATCATGGAGTCTATCTCCCTGCACATGGAGCCTTCCTTGAAATGTGATTGGTAGACCAAGTGACATTCTGCTGGAAGAAACTGATGTTTATTTTCCCCCGGATACATCAATTACAGATAGCTTCTTGGTTAAGAGTCAGACTTTCTTTCTCTTGTTCTACTATTGAATGTTTTCTTTATTTACATTTCAAATGTTATCCCCTTTCCAGGTCTTCTATCCGGAACCCCCATCCTACGCCCTTCCCCCTGCCTCTATAAGGGTACTCCCCCACCCACCAACCCACCCACTCACTCACTCACTCACTCACCCACCCACTCCTGCCTTCCTGCCCAGGCATTCCCCTACACTGGGGCATTGAACCCCCTCAGGCCCAAGGGTCGCACAACACATTCCCTTTCTCAATGTTCAGGTTTGCCTGATATGAGTTGTAAAGGTCTTACACATGATCTCACAGTCACGTGTATCAGCACAGTTGTGTCTGGAAGACACTGTTTTCTGGAGTCATCCATCATCTATGCTTCTGAAAATCTTTCTGCTTCCTCTTCTGAACAGATCCTAAGCCTTGAAGACAGGGGTTTGATCAAGACATCCCGTTTAGGGCTGAGTACTCCAAAGTCAAAACAAGCTAGTTTTAAATTGAAAGTCTTTAGCATTCATTCAAAGATAAATACAACATAATATTTATAACACAGATTTACTATATAGCAGTTTAAGTGAGTAATTCACATGCAAATCAAATAATAACTCAGAAAAGTGCTACATAATAGAAACTATAGCAGGCACTTAGGTTTGGCTTACAGACAAACCGAAAAGAGAGCATTAAACCCTTAATGCTTGGTTGACTATAAGATAAGAACAGGAAACCAGACTGAAGATGAAAGAATAAAGGGATATAACCTGTAATGTCTTATTTCTTTTATAAAAAATAAAACTAAAAGCTAAAGTGGCAAGACGTTAACAATTTTCCATTCTGGATGCTGGTACAAGTTATTCATTGGGGAATTATGCTGATAAAGTTGGGCTTACTCATAACAATAACCTATAGAGTATTTCCAAGTCATACAATTTAACACAAAATATGCCTAAATACGCATATACCTAAAGTTAGACCTGTATGTACAGTTAGAAATGGTACTTTTATGTGAGCTTACGTGATATTGAAGAGGTGAAACTTGTTAGATTTACAAATAAATTGCATACACTGAATGCTTTTAAAATTATGAAAGAATCAAAATAATAATTCTAGTAAGCCAAGTAACGGTTTCTCAAAATTGTGGAAATTTAAAAAATGAATTTATGTGTAATTTAAATTTACTTAAAAGAAATGATATCTCTGATATCCATGCCCTTGTAGGTACCTACACAAGTAAACCATATTCTCCAGCTTTCCTCTCTTTACCTTCTCTAGTGTAACTGTTGTCTGTGGGTGATGTCTTAATGTCCTTCATTGTCTTCATGGTTTTCCACCTTTGGGACATGTCCTTTAAAATACAACTTCTATTTTCATAAATGCATAAAATGTTATCAGAATTGTCCTGTGAAGTCTGTAATAGAGTGTTCATAATCCTAGTTATCAGGATTACATTCTAAGGTCGCCTTACAACTGACATATCCACTCAGAGTGTCCCTAAGCAGATTCAGTAGTACAAATGTACAGAGTCTCTTTAGGGTGTATTTCTACAAGTTAATTTTCTATGATCCATTGTGTGCATGCTTATATTTGCAAATAATTTTATCTAAGTAGCAATGATTTCTCATTAAAACATCTCT